TTCCAAACTGAAAAACTCTTTTTCTCAGAGCCTTCCGGCACTCCGGGGCTTTCTTCAAGTGCTAGGGAAGTTTCCTAGGCTTTTAGGGGTGTTTTGGCATATTTAGAGAGTGAGTAGAGAGAAGAAGAAGTGGATTTTGGTATGAAAAGTGAAGGAACTCTCGAGGGGTATTTATAGGCTGAAAAAGTGATGAAACCGTCGAGTTTCTAGCCCAAATCGTCGAGTTTCTGCCCTCCAACTCGTCGAGTTTCTGGTCCAACTCGTCGAGTTGGTGCCACGTTTTGTAATTGGATGCTGAGAAAGCAATGGCTCAGATTGCGCCACGTCACCCATTTCGCTGCAGCAACTTGCCGACTTCTAAACCCCGTAACTTTCGCATACGAGCTCCGTTTTCGACGTTATCTATATCCACGCGTAGGTGGGAACATGCTCTACAATTTTCGTTTAGAAATAATTGGCTAATTCTTGACCTATTTTAAATTTTACAGGATGAGAAGATTACACTTCTAAACGACCGTGTAGAATTCGTAACTTCTACATACGGACTCCATTTTCGACTGTCTTTTTATCGTTGAACTCCTATTATTGAGATCTTCCATTCTCATTTAGGTTGTTTCGGCTAAAAATCGCTCGATCTAAAATTCGAACTCCGAACTGCTCACTACTATGCCAAATTTTAGAGAATTCATAACTTCCTCATACGAAGTCATATTTGGACGTTCTTTTTATGAACACTCTCGGTTTAACGTATACTAAGACTTTAGTTTACATCGCTATGGCTAAAAAGCACTTTATCGTAAACTCACTTTTTACGTCACACAACGTTGTGCCGATTTTGTCGCGAAACGTCGACAGGTCATAACTTCTTCGTTATAACTCGGATTTCGGCGTTCTTTATATGTACGGAACCCTTGAGACATATACTATAACTTGGTTAAGATTATTTACTCTAAATAACCTTCTATCAAAAAGTCATTTTTAATGCTAATTTTCTTTAAACTGACTAGCTAACTCTCACATCCAAACCCTAATTCACATGTACCGCTAACCTACCAAGCTCTAACCCATACACATAACTCACACATCCAACCCTAACTCACCCGTGCCACTGACCTACCGAGCTATAACTGGCCCATACACCTAGCTCATATATCCACCCCCAACTCACCTGTGCCACTGACCTACCCAACTGTAACAGGCCCATACACCTAACTCATACATCCAACCCTAACTCACTTGTGCAACTGACCTAACCAGCTGTAACCGGCCTATACACCTAACTCATACATCCAAACCCTAAATCACATGTGCCAATAACATACCAATCTCTAATCCATACACCTAACTCATACATCCAACCCTAACTCACCTGTGCCACTAACCTACCTATTTGTAACCGGCCCATACACCTAACTCATACATCCAAACCCTAAATCACCAGTGCCACTAACATACCAAGGTCTAACCCATACACCTAACTTATACATCCAACCCTAACGCACATGTGCCACTGACCTACCCAACTGTAACCGACCCATACGTACAACTAACTCATACATCCAACCCTAACTCACCTGTGTCACTAACCTACCCAGCTGTAATGGGCCCATACAACTAACTTATACATCCAAACCCTAATTCACTTGTACCACTAACCTACCAAGCTCTAACCCATACACATAACTCATACATCCAACCCTAACTCACCTGTGCCACTGACCTACCCAGCTGTAACCGGCCCATACACCTAACTCATACATACAACCCTAACTCACCTGTGTCACTGACCTACCCAGCTGTAACCGGTCCATACACCTAACTCATACATCCAAACTCTAATTCACCTGTGCCACTAACCAACACAGCTCTAACCCACACACCTAACTCCTACATCCAACCTTAACCATATTTGATCTCAAGTTTATTACTATACGTACAAATTTAATCTCAAATTTATAAATAAATTTGTAACTCTATTTTTCAATAAACCCCATACGTAGATATATAAAAATGTACAAATTAAAAATTAATTTTTAATTAATGTGGTTACATAAAAACATAACCAATATTGATTATGATAATTACTTAATACTATATTAAATTTTATATATATATATATATATATATATATATATATATATATATATATATATATACACATAGACACACACACATAATCATCATCATCACCGTCGTTCAAAATACTCCTCCTCTGCAAATAGTTGAAACTGAATGATGATACTCTGCGTCGATGTCTCTTCAGCTGCGATTCATCATCCCTATAAACCCTTTCGCTATATAAATATGTTAATTCTCAAACTTGGTAGACATGAACCTTCATCATGAACCAACGATCTTTTACAAAGGAAACTTTTCTTGATCGATTAATGGCAAGACAGACGAGCACCGATCCGTAGGCGAGGAAAAGGTTTCAACTGGGGAGCATTACAAAGGAACCACTGACCACAAATCCAATCGTACAATATGGGAAAGGTAACGATAACAAAATAACGATTAGAGTGGTTCATGGAGGAAATTTTACTGATTTTCCAGGTAAATCCTATGCAAAAACATAGGTAGATTACATTACTTTGATCAACATCGAATTGCTAGACATGGTGTTGCTAGGAAGATTTTCTAAAAGTCTGGGTTATGACACATTTGGTTACTAGTATTATATGCCAACTAAAGAGCAACAGTGGTTGATAATGACCCCCATTATAGACGAGAATGTGTGGGGAAATTTCAAAATGTTGGCTAGGGAACACAAATTTCGTGAAATTAAACACTTCTATTAAAGAACAAGACTAAACTTGTGCCAATGAATTTCCCCCATTACTTAATGAACTCTCCATCAAAGAGGATAGATAAGCTTATCCATCTCTTGGTCACAAAAGACCCAAGAGCAACAGTTGATGATGGAATTGCATACATCAAGAAAATGATGAACATGACAATTCCAAGAAAAAAGATTGAAGATGTGACGGACATGGCTAAAGAGAATATCATTGCATGGCAAATATTGTAGTGTAGGCAAGTTTAGTATGTTTTTTTGTAAAATTAGGGGTATTTTTGTCTTTTTATGTTTTTTTTATGTTAAAACAAAGAGATCAACTTAACAGTTTAAGATGAAAGGCAAGCAGGGGTATAATTGTCTGTTTTTTTTCAAGTCAGAAGAGTAAGTAAAAATGTTAAAGATTTTTTTTTGACATTAAGTGTAATCAGGGGTATTTTTGTCTTTTTTTATGTTAAAACAAAGAGATCAACTTAACAGTTTAAGATGGAAGGCAAGCAGGGGTATAATTGTCTATTTGTTTCAAATCCGAAGAGTAAGTAAAAATGTTAAAGAAAAGTATTTGGCAGTGAGTGTAATCAGGGGTATTTTTGTCTTTTTTTGTTTTTTTATGTTAAAACAAAGAGATAAACTTAACAGTTTAAGATGGAAGGAAAGTAGGGGTATAATTGTCTATTTTTTTATCAAGTCAGAAGAGTAAGTAAAAATGTAAAGAATTTTTTTTTACAGTGAGTGTAATCAGGGGTATTTTTGTCTTTTTTTGTTTTTTTTTATGTTAAAACAAAGAGATCAACTTAACAGTTTAAGATGGAAGGCAAGCAGGGGTATAATTTATAATACTATTAATTTTAAGTTCCCTTAGGAACAGAACAGTGCCCTTTCCATTCATTTTCCGCCATCTACTGCTTCTTCGGCCCATTAGCGTGTCACCCACCGCCATCGTCTTCCAATGAAATATCACCCCTATCACCGTCGTGTCCTTCTTTCTTTCATTAATTTGCACTGATTCACCATCTTCACACACGTATCACACATACGCTTTGTCTCTTTGTCTCTCTCACATGATTTTCTCCCATCTCCACCATTTCCCGCTAATACAGTCGCGCTTTGTTCACAAGACACGAACGATTTCCTTGATTTTGCTCTCACCCTTCTCTATTCGATTAGGGCTTCAATTTCCAGCAAACCACCACTCAAAATCCATTTCGATCTTCTTTTATATTTATGTTTCTCTCTAGAAATCGATTCACCCAACATCTCCTTCTCCACCTCCGATTTCTTCAAATCATAAGATTCGGTGTTACTGTGTGTTTTCTGGTGATTTCGCACCACAACATCTACGATATACCAGTGGAATCTTCAATCTGATGGAGTTTTACATTCTTGCATTCACCATATTTAATTTTTTTTAGTAGATAAATCACTTATAATAGTTTAATACATATCGATTAAAGGCAAACGGGCAACAAGTTGCGCCGCTAGCCCTTTCTGGATGGCAAAATCAATTCTTTTGAAAACAACATTTGTGGATCTAGGAGATACGACATTAGAATGCATGACCCGTTGCACTCTACTGAGGAGCTCTACCGCCTCTGGTGCGAGAAAACCAAATGTATCGAATGCAAAATGTACAAACACATGTTGATTTTCTAAACATGCATTCTCGTGCTTTACCACTTTGTACGCAACGGCTTTCAAAGCGGCATGCCCTGCTGTGAAACCCCCGCTCCCAAAACCAACGAGAGGAGAGACCCCAGTAAGATCCACGCATGCATGCTTCCCTCCTATCCATCCAAAGACCAAAATGTCAGTCGGCCTAAGAGTGGACCTTCAAACCTGCGGGTCCGTCAAAAAGTTCACTGGGGCTTCTTTCTTCACAGAAATACCAGCACGCCAACAAGCATCAAAGAGAACATCCCGAACCACATCATGTCTGTACTTGAAACCAGGGAGCTCTCTACAATGAACCGCGTGTTCCCTAAAGGTATCCATACATGCCTTGCGGCAAACTGGGCATATCTCGTCAATTGGGAATAGGGGAAGAGTGGGCATATCTTGGACGATTTTGCTAAAAAGGGCATTAAGACAGAATATACATGAATGATGCGTCGGAATGGATTGACGATGGATGGATTGTCTGGGTTTGATATGTTTATATAAATATATGGATATGTTTGGATAGGGTTCTGCTATTCAGAAATATAAAATCTATTTCAACTGAAGAAGATTGAGAACAACTCGGGGTTGTGTGTGTGCTTGTTAGTGAAACCCTACAGCCAAAGCTTTTCGTTTCAGTTTTTGACCAACGAAACGATCCTTCTATTCTTGAACGCTCGACATTCAACTTGCCCTGCACGGACTTATTTAGTTTGTACAAACTCTGACACTTCTCTCATGAATGTATTCTTCAGATTTTCATTTTGTGCTTCTAAGGTTGAACGCTTGCAGTTTCTAGATTTACTTTATATACTTGGTATCGATTTACAGTTGTGATTTTGCTTTTAGGGCTGATCAATTGTTATTTTATGTCACCCTCTTCACGATTATCGGTGATGTCAACAATGAACGACGCAATTACAACCAAAGACTAGGGTTCGATTTTGGGTTTAGCAAACATTTTATCACTTAGGTACTGCTACCCCTCTTTCGTCTTTAGATTGGGTCTCTGCTTCTTACTACGATTCATCATGTGCATGACCGTGAATGTTAATGATTGGGTCCATGCCATGTAACAATTGTTGCAGGTATGTTTTTGGTGAAGCTTTGTTGATGTCTATGATTCTCCATTTACTCACTAGAAAGAAGGGTGAAGAAGGTTTCTAATAAGTTTGATGTCTCTGATTAGCAGAAAAAAGAAGGATGAAGAGAAAGCTAGAAAGAAGGAGTTGAGTGCAATACTGTTTGTCCAGGCTATTGAACTTTTGGGTGTTTGGCTATGTGTTTAGAGTATGTCACAGTAATCAATTGAATGTTCCTAAAACCCGATTATGGTTTGTGATTTTCTGAGAGTTTAGAGTGCTAATAATCAGATTCAAATAGCAATCAAAGAATTGCTAAAAGAAAACTTTCAAATGATATCAGTTCTGATTCTTCAACTCGAGGTTTTCTTTTGTTCCTTCTACTCCCACCCATTATACAAAGTACAATCTCTTTTTTAATATTTTACACTTCAGATATACCTAAAATTGAAACTCATCATACCAACTAATGGATTTTTTTTATGTAACCACATTTTGGCAGGATGATGATGCTGTGAATGCAGAGGCTTTTATCAACAAAGCTTCTTTTTTGGTTGGCAACAGTCAGCATGAGGTATTGAATTTAGAGTATAAGGTTTAGAAGAGTGTTGGAACTTTGGTTTAGCTTGAATTCTTAACAGGAATTTATTTATATTACATTAAAATCTGATTACTTTTTTCCCTTCTTTTGTTTAAGGTTTATTATGCATGTATTATGACATTTCACAAAATGAAAAACGTCAAATTTTGAAGTATGATTCTACTCAAGGATTTTTTAAAGAAACCATTAAGGTTATTGATGATTCCAGTTTACAAATTAATGGGAAGCAAATAAAAGTAACCATAGAAAGGTGTATATTTATTCCTTTTCGTACTTGTGAAGTTTCCTCTTTCTTTTTTAATCTAGCGTTTAGAGAGAATTTGGGAAATGTATTGAATTTATGTCTGGAGGGATTTCGGCGTAGTAAAGAGTATCTTCGCATGTGTAATAGATTCACCACACTTGATAAGGAATCACATTCACTTGGGAATGCTTCATTCCATTCCTATGTCTAACAAAAAAAATCCACTCCATCTCTATGATCCATTCCATTTCACTTTTTTGTATTGTTGTATATTAAACACTACCAACTAACTTCATTGGTATGTTGATAATCAGATATGAGTTGAATGCCATAAGAATGGAGAAATCCAAACAGATTTGCATATGGTCTGTGTTTAAAGCCATTTATGGCATATTGAAAATACATTTTCTCATGCTATGATTATGTTCAACTATGGTTTCATACTTTGAAAATTTACGGTGCACTTAAACTATTCTGTAGGTAGGTCCACATGAGCCATGAACTTCATTGCTGTTCAATTTCGTTGCTCAGGTCTTCAATCGTGAGCTATGATTTCATTGTTTGTAGTTCTATCTATTTATCTTCCAAAGTCGATTGCATCGAAAATGAGCGATGATTTCTCTTCTCATGTCATTTGTGTGTTTGCTAGGATGATCATAGGATGTTGGGATACATATGTTATTCTGATCATAGGATGCCCAAATAATGTAGTCAAATGCATAGTTAGGAGACGTTTAATTTGTATATTGGTAAATTTCTCAATTGGATCATAAATGGTATGGAGTGTGATTGGATCTTTATTTTCAAGAGGTGGTTATGTGATTTTTTTTAGTGAAGGGCATTTTGGTAAAAAATAGAAAATACCAGATAGAATAGATAGATAATATATTGCATATAGTAAGCATTGACAACATAAGCGTTAAAATCTTTACTTAATCTGAACGAACATCCGACCCGCCGCGAAGCGCGGGTTACCCCCTAGTTTTTTATTTTATTTCAAGTCAGAAGAGTAAGTAAAAATGTTAAAGAAAATATTTGACAGTAAGTGTAATCAGGGTATTTTTGTCTTTTTTGTTTTTTATGTTAAAACAAAGAGATCAGCTTAACAGTTTAAGATGGAAGACAAGCAGGGGTATAATTGTCTATTTTTTTCAAGTCAGAAAAGTAAGTAAAAATGTTAAAGAATTTTTTTTTTGACAGTGAATGTAATCAGGGGTATTTTTGTTTTTTTTTTTTTTTGTTTTTCTATGTTAAAACAAAGAGATCAACTTAAAAGTTTAAGATGGAAGGAAACAGGGGTATGATTGTCTATTTTTTTTCAAGTTAGAAGAGCAACTAAAAATGTTAAAGATAATTTTTTTGACATTGAGAGTAATTAGGGGTATTTTTGTCTTTTTTCTGTTTTTTTATGTTAAAACAAAGAGATCAACTTAATAGTTTAAGATGAAAGGCAAGCAGGGGTATAATTGTCTTTTTTTCAAGTTAGAAGAGTAAGTAAAAATGTTAAAGAAAAATATTTTACACTGATTGTAATCATGGGTATTTTTGTCTTTTTTGTTTTTTTATTACCAAATATAATATGTAATAAGTATTTATAGTTTTCTTTTATCATATCCAAATATATTATCTATTAAAATGCAACCTAGTTGGTCAATGAAGATGGATTTACCACATATTTATTCTGGAAGATTGTGGGTTCGAACCCCACTTACAACATTTTTTTTATAAATTACATGTTTGTTAAGTCTGTCACAAACTAGATAATATCCTTAAGTAATTCCTTTATCAATACGTAATTTCCTTCATGTATTTTCCTTTTTTTTTTTTTGATATATCATTGATGATCCATACAAATTGACTAAATATGCATATTCATGCAATATGATTTTTCTTTGAAGCCTTCTTTGGTCAATACAAAGTCGTTGTTAATACTGAGTAACTTCTATACAAGACATTGATACATGTACGCCTACATTACATTTGTATATGTTCTTCAACAAAATAAAACACAACACTTGGTATACAATTTTTTGATATTTGGTTTGATAATGAATTTAATTAGTATGCATATATGCTATAATCTACAGATAAATCGAATTGGCTTCCATGAATTGTATTTATTTATTATATTGTGTTATTCCTTTATGTACACCAACTGTATGATAAAAAATATCAATGAACATGTGATCTTAATTACTAAGTTCATGTATGATTCTTGTAGCATCAAAATGGACAAGTTTTGGATGGGATCATATAGAAACACATCGACTTATATAAAAGGTGTTGCAGAATTTTTGAAATATGTAGTACGCAATTACAATATTTATAGGAATATCGATCCTTTAGATACCAAAACAAAGATACAAATTCCATGTCCTTGTATAAAGTGTTTAAACCACGTATCTCATTCAGTTGATGTAGTAATACTCACATATTCAGTAATGGAATTGATCAAACCTACACGAACTGGACTAAACATGGGGAAAAAGAGGAACCACCAAGTAATTATGTTTATACAGAGGATTTTGCCATGGAAACATCATATGTTTTCGAATACAAAAACTTCACAAGAGAAATGCCAACAAATGCTGCAGAAACAATAGAGATGGTTGAAGCTACAGAAGATGATTTCATTGGGGGCCCTGATAAGTTTAGAGAACTGACAGATGATGCTGAGAAGCCCCTATATAAAGGATGTGCTAACTTTACAAAGTTATCTGTAATCATAAAACTACTCAACTTAAAGTGTAAGTATGGAGTATCAGATAAGTGCATTACAAAATTATTAGTTTTGATCAAAAATATGTTACCCGAATGAAACGAAATATACAATAGTACATATGAGGCCAAGAAAGCATTCAAAGCAATGGGCTCAGGGTATACAAAGATACATGAATGTATCAACAACTGTATACTTTATAGGAACCAATACGAAGACACCATAATATGTCCCACTTGTGGCAAATCAAGATGGAAGGTGGATGAAGAAAAAAAAATTACAAGAATATTCCAGCAAAAGTGTTGTGGTACTTTTCAATAATTCCACGAATGAAATGACCATTTCAATCAAAGAGTACAGCAAAAGTGTTGTGGTACTTTTCAATAATTCCACGAATGAAATGACCATTTCAATCAAAGAGTACTACAAAAGACTTAACATGGCATGCAACTGATAGAAAGGTGGAAATCGGTGTTTTACGTTACCCAACAGATTCACCAGCATGGGCTGCCATAGATGAGAAATTTCCTGACTTTGCTAGCGAACCAAGAAATTTGCGGCTAGGCATTTCGGCTGACGGGGTAGATGTGAATAGAGGAAATCGGAATCATAGTGTATGGCCTATTTTAATTGTCATTTACAACCTTCCCCTATGGTTGTGTATGAAGAGAAAGTTTATCATGTTTTCGTTATTGATATTCGGAACACTGGTAAATGATATTGATGTGTTCCTTGCACCTTTGGTTGATGATCTATATATATATATATATATATATATATATATATATATATATATATATATATATATATATATATTATTTTATAATGGAGTCGAAACATATGATGCATATGCACAAGAAAGGTTTAATCTACATGTAGTTGTGTTATTGACAATTAATGATTATCCTGCTCTTGGTACATTATCTGGTTGTCCTTACGGAGGGTTCAAAGGATGCGTTGTGTTTGGTGAACAAACACAGTGTATTAGACTCCCTTAATCAAATAAGCAAAGTTATGCTGGTCACATACGATATCTACAGTATGACCACCCGTTCATAATACAAAAGAAGGCGTTCAATGGAGAACAAGAGTTCTTACCATCGCCAATACCTATGACCGGGGAGGAAATATATAACAAGGTCAAATTTATTATTAATAAATAGGGGAAAGTATCTAAGGGCAATGGATCAGAATTCCAAAAAGCTTCTGCTAGTAGAAGTGGGAATATACCAAAAAAGAGAAAATCAAAGCAAGTGGGTAGTTCAGATGTTAGCCAACAAGCTACCACATACTGAAAGAAATTTAATATATGGCATAGACGGCTGAGGTATTGGCAACACAATTTGATTCTACATTGTTTAGATTTTATGCACATTACAAAGAAGGTGGGAGAGAGTATAGCCGAAACAATGTTGAACATTCCAGGGAAGACGAAAGATGGTTATAAAGCTCGATTGGATTTGGTGTATTATGGGATAAAACCAGAGTTGCATCCTAAGAAAGATGGGAACAACACCACACTCCCCCAGCAGGTTGCACATTGACAAAAGAGGAAAAATACAAGTTCCTAGAAACTTTTTACCACTTAAGGGTTCCACAAGGGTATTGTTCTAATTTTTCTAGTTTGGTGAGTCTGAAGGAAAGGAAGCTTGTCGGACTCAAGTCACAACATGCAACATTTTTTCCCATATCAATTCAGTCTATTATGCATCCACCCACTAGAGCTGCTATTACCAGGTTATGTTTCTTTTTCAAAAAACAATATGTAACAAAGAAATCAAAGTGAATGAACTCGATAAGTTGCAAGAAGAGTTATGTGTGACCTTATGCCCTCTTGAGAAACAATTTCCACCATCATTTTTTGATGTGATGATTCACTTAACCGTTCACCTTACTAGAGAAGTAAAATTATGCGGTCCAATATTCTTCAGATGGATGTACCTGTTCGAGAGGTAGATGAAGGTTATTAAGGGCCACATGCGAAACAAAAATAGACTAGAAGGTTGCATTGCGGAAGAGAATCTTGCAGAAGAGACGATTGAGTTTCTTAGTGAATTCTTAAAAAAAAACATGTATACTATCGGCCTTCCACCAGAGAAGAATAACACAAGTAGTGGAATTCAAAGAGGTGGAGATACGGATGGGACTCCTCTATCAGCTGCTAAACCATTAGAAGTTTCTCCACCACTCTTCAGCAAAGCACATTTCTTAGTATTGCAAAATACATCTGAAGTACTCCCATATATTAAGTAAGGTTCTTACATGTATGTAATTTTTTTGTTATTGTACACTATTGTGTTCTTTTCATAATAACATTTACATATGTACAGTCGACACATGGATTTTTTGCGACAAAAACAACCGACTAAATGAAAAGCACATCTAGAGAAAGATAACAATGATACATTTGGTCATTGGTTACGATAGGAGGTACTTTATTTTCTTATATATTGTTTTTTCTTTAATTTATTGGGGATGAGCAAAACCGGTCCTAAGTGGTACCCTAATACATTGATTGGCTGTTATAGCAATATACTATGGTATGTACTTTCCAATGCACTCTTGCTAATCATTATGTATTTCATCATATGTTAAATTCATATTATAAAACTATTCAGGTAGTGAGGGAGTTATGGGTCTGCAGAGAAAGTGTAACAAAGACAATGAGATGGCTTTCTCATCGAACAAACAAAAACATTATTAAATAAGATGTATATGCTATCAATGGTTATACTTTTCGTAAAGCTCGTGAAGGAAAAATTTACCAAGACAGTGGGGTTAGTGTCATTGCAACTGACACACACATTAGTAAAGAAGTTGTAACGTATGCCAAAAACACTTATTATGGTGTTTTACAAGAGATATACTTGATTATCATTTTAAACAAATTCCAATTTTCATGTGTGATTAGGTTGACAATAAACATGGGGTCAAGAAGGATAGAATAGGGTACACACTAGTGGTGCTAAATAGATTAGGCCATAAAGATGATCCCTTCATATTAGCCTCACAAGCAAGACAAGTATTTATGTGACAGACCCACTCGATCAAAAAATGTCTATTGTCATCAACACACCTCCCAAAAATTACA